TGGCAGAAGCATAATGTGTTGGCAGAAACGTTATTGTGACAGAACCATTATTTCACAAGCATGTTATGATTCCTAGCAACTAATGAAGTGATTTTGCCATGTGATTTCGACATATGCATATATAAAATTGACCTTGCTCCCTGTCCCCGACTTAGGGATTGGGATAAAAAAACAGGGGCGCCACCTATTAGAAGGGCGCCTGCCCCTCCAATACATGGCGCTCTTGTTTTTAAACCTGTCCCCAAGTCGGGACAGGTGGTTTTACCCATATAAAATTCACATGTTATCAAATTAATTTTGGTACTGTGATAAATAATTGTGCTTATAAAAATCACTACTTTCGCTAAACTAAGCCTTCGTGCTGGTAACTTGTTGTGAAAAAAAGAGAAAATAGAAAGAAGTTAATGGACTTGTGTATATTTTATTAAGAACCAAAATCCTATAGTTACGATAATAATTTTTAGAGTTACAGAGATACAATTGTCATTAACTAATAAACTTACCATTTACAACAAAAATAAGACACTTTTGGGAAACGTAGTAATGGGTTATCAAAATAATGGGCTTATGTCAGTAGCCCAATACAAATAAGCCCATTAATAGGGAAAAAGATTAACATGTGATAAAAGAATTCAATAACTCAATCAATTTAGGAGAAAATCACGTTCAATAAGCAAAAATAGTGACCCGATGATTGACTACTAAGAAAAAAGGAATATGAGGTAAACGGAAGTACAAACAAACAAACAAGCCGTTTATCATTACAATAAGTGTCAAGTGGAATTACAGTGATGTATGCAATTGAAATGGTTAATATATTTGAGATAATTACGTGTTTACAAAATACTATCTCAATTCATCCTATTACAAGCTCCAAGCTGCTCGTTCATCTGGTCGTAAACTAGAGCTTCCATAGTAAATAATAAGTGAGACAACGATTAAGCATCCTAGCAGATCAGTAAGCTTGAGCCTTGTTCATCCCCGTAGTAATCGGATGAATTGAGTCGTAGACATGAAGTGTAAGAATTCAACGGGTTTCCCTTCTTTGTTTGTCTAATTCAAGAGGAAAAGGTTCATTCAATTCTCAATAATAGGAATCCTTTTTTCGTCTAAATAACAAAGTGAATTTCTTTTTCTACTGTTTCAGAAAACTTTTTTTTTGGATAAATACTTTCATTGTAAGATTTTTCTATTCGTGTAGAACATCAATTACTTCAACTGATAAATGAATGGAAGAAAGAAATTATTTAGACTTCCTTTCAATACGATACTAATTCAAAATTGTGTTGTTATGTATAAGATGGCAAGTATTTATCATATTTTATTTACTTTTTAATGATATATCCTTAAAATATTCGTAAAGAGAAAAATTCGATTTTCAAAAATTAACTTTTTATAGCTCTCCTACACAGGCATATCGCGATGTAGATGAATCTCCTATAGCTATAATCATTGTCGTGGCATCGGATACCATTTCGTAAATAATAAATTCAGGGATTTCTCTTATGATTTCCATCAGAGTAAAGACAACTTTGTCAAGTCGACGTCAGCAGAAAATATGATTGTCCAGAGGTACAATCTCCTTTTACTTCTTTTGAGAAATAATCAAATAATTAAGAAATTTTATATAGCCCCACTTGTTTTTCATTTTTTTCTTATTAAAATAAAAAATACTATCGTTATGCATCACATCAAGTCATTAAATTTAAATTTTTATTTTTTGTGTGGGATCTATAACGATTATATTTTTTATTCTCGTTCTTACAAAAACGAGAAACAAACGCCCCCCACAATTTATCACTTATTTTTTTCATTCTTGATCTCATCCTATTGTTAAGAGCCCATTTGATATTCATTTTTTTCAAAATGTAATTTTCTTTCTCTTCTTTTTCACCACACATTCTTTATTAAAATAATATTACACGTAAATTAAAAATTTTTCCTTATTTTTCAATCACATATTTTCCATCAATTACTATTCAAAAATACATTTTTACATAAATATGTCTCTCAAATACCCCCTAAATATATTGGGAGGAAAATAAAAAAAACTATGTTCCAGGCATAATATTTTGACAGTCCCAGTATTCAACCTTCATTTTTAGTAAAATTTGAGTCACTAGTTGACAAATTTTGCATTATGCGTTCAATTAAAAACTCGATTTTGTCACAAATACAACCTGATCCCAGAAGCCGCCTTGAGGATGCGCAAGTGTTGGGACCAATGGGGACGCCTATTTTTATTTTTATTTTTGGTTATATGTAATAATTTTAAAATTTAAAACCTTTATTATTATGTTAGTTAAAAGTCACAAATCTTATAGAAAAAAAAAAGGTAAAAGTAGAAAAATAATGACTCTTATTTAACATTATTGTCCTAATTGTGTATCATATCAAGACATGCTATTAGTGCATGGGAAACGATTCACATGGTTTTAGACTCCTTCGTTGCTAAGTTTAATATGTCGTGCTTAACTATTTTTGTTTATAAATTTTTTCTTTATTAATTGTAGGCTTCGACTTGGTATAATATGGAATTGTCTTATAATTAAACTTATTGGATGATGCTAATTCGAAAGTTGTAGTCAACTTGACATTGTTCTAGGATATGTAATTTTTTACGATCTTGATAGTGAAGATTTGTTTCAAGAGTTAATTTTTTTTTTTTGAGAAATCCTTTGCCAAAAGGAACGAAAATAGCTTTTGGCATATTGACTTTTTTGAAAAGATTGAATTACTTTTCGAATATATTTATTGCTTATAGAATGCTATTGACAATTTTTATTCTGTTACATATGTCGAAATAAGTTTTTAAAAATTGAATTTACTGAAATCTTATTTGCAATCAACTATATTACAAGAATGGTTGAATTGACTAACTTTGATATCTATTGAACAAGATTTGCTTGAACATATTGATCATGAAACTTTAATTAGTGAGTTCGCTTCTAATTGTGAGAAGAAGTATTTTTACATGATTTGTTGCATTTCGAGGTTTACACGCGATATTTACTGTATTTGATTTCAAGGTTTGCTTATAAGGAATTTCGTGAAGAGCTTAGTGGCTTGGATATTTTTTTTGTCGATGACATGTGAATTTTGATGAGAGTTCTGCTTCTGAGCCAGGCTCAGAAACAGGGTAAAAAACAGAGGGCTGAGGTGGCATCACCTCAATCCCCAGATCCCATACATTTTTTTTTCCAGATTCAACGGCCGAGGTGGAAACACCTCGGCACCCTGTTTTTTGGCCTGGACAAGAGGCATTTTCGTTTTGATGAAGTGCAAAAGGTACTTTTAAACTTTATTTGTATTTTTCTTATTTACGACATATAAAAAAGTATTCAAATATTTTAATGTCATATTTTTTATTACTAGAATACATTTTTATTAATATATTTTTTTCAATTGCACGAAAGAGGGCCCCCATTTTATAATGTTACACAGCACACCTGAAAATCTCACCGATCCTACTTTATCCTGAATATTATTACACGTATAACTTTTCTTTTTATTTTTGATTAAGTAAAGAAAAGGATAACATATTCCTTTGAATAAAATTTTGAGGTTAATTAGAAAAATTGCAATAGCAGTCCCTAATCTTTTCAATTTTTGCAGACTTTACTCTAACCTTTATTTTGTACGAGTGAAGGTCCCCAATATTTCATAAATGTGCAGCTGATGTCCATCTGGATGGATATACCGTTAATTGACCAAAAATTGATAAATTTTGACCAAATTAGAAGGGGCATTTTAGTCAATCTTAGATTAATAATTAAATTAAATTAAAAAAAAAAAAAAACTACCCAACCCTCCCTTTCCCAAATCCTTCATCATCGTCACTATCTTCCACCATCATTGACATAGCTATAGTTACTGCCACCATCACCAGCCTGACCCACTAAACCCTAATGAAACCGAACAAAAGCTTCTATACTAAATTACAGTAGTCGAAGTTGAAAATTACAGGTGACTTAGTTACGGTACCTGAATAGAAATTGGTGGTCGAATTCAAGAAATACGGCAACAAATTGGATTTCGTAATGCAGAGAAAAATGGGAAATGGGCGGTGGTGTTGGGTTCGGGTTCCCTTTTTTTTGGGTGAAATTGAGTGGAAATGAAGGGCGAAGGTAATGGAGGAAATTTATGTGAAATTGAGTAGTGGTGCTGGGTTCGATATTTCTGTTCTATTATTTTCCGTGTTCTAGTTTCGAGGGGTGAAGGGGTGTGGGTTGACAGAATTTAGGGGTTTGGTTTGCTATGGGAACTTCTCGATTTTTCTATGAAGGTTGCTTCCATTGGTAATGGGGATTGTGGGTTGGCCAGAATTTTGGGGTTTGATTTGCTTTGGGAATTTCTCGATTTTTCTGTGGAGGGTGCTTCCACTGGTAATGGGAGTATAGTGACAATGATGACATCATCATGGTCGAAGGTGGCTAAGTGGTAGTCTAGTCGGAGAAGTAGGAGAAAGGTTTTGATAGTATTTATATATTATGTTATTCATATTTATTTTTTGGTTTTTTAATTTAATTAAATAACTTATTTTAATATGAAAAAAAATGCAAAGTCCGAAAATACCCTTTTCCAATTTGGTCAAAATTAATAAAATTTTCCAATTTTTGGTCAATTAACGATACAATGGAAGTTTCCTTGAAGATGGATTTTATCTGCAAATTTATGAAAGGTTGGAGACATTTATTGATGCAAAATGAAGATTAGGATAATATCTGTAAAAATTAAAAAGATTAGGGACCGGTAGCAATTTTCCCTTAAAATTAAAGGTAAAATTGTCGGTTAAGGGACGTTGTATTCACTAAAATCTAGCTACAGTTTTGGGGAAACGTGAGGATTAGGCTCCAAATTTTACCCGCCTGAAAAGTCGCATTCGTGTCTCCCACAAGTGATACAACCCACATCCATTGATGAACCATAAAGAACATGTTCTCTCTGTTATTTATACGTTATTTTTATATGTACGTATATAAAAGGTACGAATACATAGATAAGCTTGACTGAAATATTTTTTATTTATTGCTGTAAAAATCTAACATCATGGCCCAAATTAAAGCTGTTACACATGCAGTACTTTTTAACATACACAATCACAATCACAAAGATAAAGGCAAAGATGGAACTAAAATCCTGGATGGCTGGATCTAGAGGTGGCATGGCACTTTCTTGGCTGGCTCAAAGGCGAATGGCCCAACTGTGAAGAGTTGAAATGGAAGTGGCTTAACCGGTGGCTTGCGGCTGGGAATCAAGATGGCACCAAAGGCTCCGCTGCCCATATTGGTCGGGACACTGCATGTTGGCAATGGTGATGAAATTATGAACACCTTGCACTTGTGGAATGCAGCTGTTGTCAGCTTAGATGGCTTGAAGAAGAAATAACCATTCTTGTCTGTCTTGGTTTGTTCAACGAGTCCCCACTTGGTGTTGTTGCACTGTAGCTTTACCAAAGCCCCTGCAGAATAACACAAAAATCAAATTCAAATTTTGCACATTGTACTATAGACCACTAATTAACTTACGAGGTGAGGAAGATGTAAACTAACCGGCAAGTGGAGAGGCTCCAATGAGGGTTCCAACCCCTCTGTACTTGCAGGACTTGCAATATACAACACCTTGAACAGCCACAGCCTTCCTGATGGGTAGGGGACTAGGAGGTTTCACCGGTGGGTGGCTCGGAGGCTTAACAGGCGGTGGAGTGGGAGGCTTGACTGGTGGAGTGGGAGGCTTAACTGGTGGAGTAGGAGGCTTGACTGGTGGTGAAGTGGGAGGCTTGACTGGTGGTGGAGTGGGAGGCTTGACTGGTGGAATGGGAGGCTTGACTGGTGGCGAAGAGGGAGGCTTAACTGGAGGGTGGCTGGGAGGCTTAACTGGTGGTGAAGTGGGAGGCTTAACTGGAGGGTGGCTTGGGGGTGGGGTGGGGGGATGGTGGTGGTGGTGATGGCCCTTGTGGTGGGGTGCAGGGGCTGGTGCAGGCGGGTGGACTGGAACAGGTTCCTTGGCAACACCAACGAGATCACTAAAAACTGTGAAGGAGCTAGACAGTAGCACCAAAAGCACGAGAACTTTTCCTAAAGCTAGAGCCATTGTGCCCAAAGTGTAGTGTGTGTTAAGTGAACTGAACTTCAAGGTTTATGGAGAGTGTATTTATAGGGCTTTCAAGCTGCATATTCTGTGAAATATTTCAAATTTGTGAAAAAAAAAGGTGACTTTTAGTAAACCACTGGGACAGGGATATCATATTTCCGATAAGTCCTTGAAATTGTGTCGGACTACTCGGTACATAATAATAATAATAATACAGTCGAGGCACAACCTCTTTCCTTTTTCCCTTTTTCTTTTCTTTTTATTCGTCTAGAGAGATCGACTCATGAATTAAAAAGATTTGTACCCCTAAAAAATCAAAGAATTCCTTCATTTTGTCACACCTCTTATTAATGTTTCCATAAATTGTATTTAACGTTTTTATTTTTTTTAGATTTTGTAAAAATATTTACTCAGTTATGTAAAACCATGCTATCTATACTTTTAACAGTACAACCTTTCAAGAGTGGACAACTATGCAAATCATCCCTAACCTAGCTACATGGCGCAAATATCCTTTTTGACACTGTCTATTTATCTTTGCCATTAATTATGCACGTGATTGTCACGTGCAAAACCTTTTTGGTGGAAATGGTCCCGAACAGGTGTAAATTTTTGTGCGAATGATCTCTAACCTTCAAATCTTTGTGCAAACGTTCATGCGTTTCGCCTGATAGGTGCAATTGGTCATTTTAGATAGTTTTCATTCGATTGACCATTAAAAAAAAATCAAACTTCTGATTTTTTTACTTATTTATTTAACTACAATATTTGTCATTTTAGTATTTATATCAGAAGTTTGACATTTTCAACGTCAACTAAACGAAAACAAATCAAAGGTATCAAATGCACCAATTTGGTGAAAAGTTAGGGATGTTTGCATCAAGATTTAAAGATAAAACACTATATCGCAGAAAACCTACTGCTTATGGACCATTTCCACCAAATAGGCTATAGACGTGACAATCACGTGCTTAATTAACAACAAATTAGATGGAAAGTGAAAAAAAAGGATATGCTCACTACAATAATAGATAAAAGATAATTTACCAATTGAAATATAAATAATGTTATTTGATGTCGCTCATTGAGACGTTACTCTTAAATATGTATGATACGTAGGACGAATACAAATAGCATTACTCGATTTGCGCAATGAACCAATAAATTAGGGGAAGCTTTGCACCAATTTTCTTTTTAATTTCAACAACTCTTCCTTTGGATCTGCTTCACATGGAGCAAAGCGTGTTAAGTTTGGTAATTTGCACATCTTACGAGGGTTACAGAAGTTTCCAGTAACTTGTTTACATCTCTCAGCAATAAATAGATTCCAATTTGGACTCACAAACTATGCCATTCCCTCGAAACGGCATAATTAATCTTCTGTTCTTATCACAAAGTGTAATTCCATTGTGCAAATCCATTGATTGTCATGTTTTCAAAGACAACGACAGATTAATATTTTTTGTCTTTTTTTGGAATTAATCTTGTTTGTTGCTATGCATCCGGAATATCAAATATGTCGGTAAAACGTAGTATAATGTAGCGATTTGTATAGTAAATACTTTAAGGTTAAGGTTTCTCAAAACGTGTAAATATTTCAATTTAAGCTCCCGTTTGGCCCACATTAAATTATATTCTATTTTTCTCTCTCTTATTTTCAATCACACAATCTTCCATAAAATAATATTACACGAAAATCGAAAACTTTTTCATTTTTTTTCAACCTCTCATTTTTCAAAAAAATATTATTCCTCCTATTTTCATTATCGAAAAATGGGAGTCAAACAGGGGCTAAAAGTCAAGGGCCAATTTAAAGCAGACATCGTAGATTGGAAAACGAGACTATAAAAATCAGTCTAAACTCTTTGGATTGGCTAGCAACTATTGTTAACGTGCCTCCAGACCTAAAGTAATCCAAACAATGGGTAGCTATAATTACTTAAATATATAAAAATGTAATTAAATTAAACATTTGGATCCAACGTAGATCCCGCGATGTTTCTTGTGTTTAGCACGACGAGTGGCATAAAGTATGCACCTTTTTCAATGATTCAATCCTTCTGGGTAGGTCCCACGTGTTGTATTGCAAATGATGATTATATTTTATATTCTGTCAACTTTTACGGTATATTAGAAATTAAATAGGTTAGAAAATTTTTTTGGAATTAATCTTGTTTGTTGCTATGCATCCGGAATATCAAATATGTCGGTAAAACGTAGTATAATGTAGCGATTTGTACAGTAAATACTTTAAGGTTAAGGTTTCTCAAAACGGGTAAATATTTCAATTTAAGCCCCCGTTTGGCCCACATTAAATTATATTCTATTTCTCTCTCTCTTATTTTCAATCACACAATCTTCCATAAAATAATATTACACGAAAATCGAAAATTTTTTCATTTTTTTTCAAAGTCTCATTTTTCAAAAAAATATTATTCCTTCTATTTTCATTATCGAAAAATGGGAGTCAAACAGGGGCTAAAAGTCAAGGGCCAATTTAAAGCAGACATCGTAGATTGGAAAACGAGACTATAAAAATCAGTCTAAACTCTTTGGATTGGCTAGCAACTATTGTTAACGTGCCTCCAGACCTAAAGTAATCCAAACAATGGGTAGCTATAATTACTTAAATATATAAAAATGTAATTAAATTAAACATTTGGATCCAACGTAGATCCCGCAATGTTTCTTGTGTTTAGCACGACGAGTGGCATGAAGTATGCACCTTTTTCAATGATTCAATCCTTCTGCGTAGGTCCCACGTGTTGTATTGCAAATGATGATTATATTTTATATTCTGTCAATTTTTACGGTATATTAGAAATTAAATAGGTTAGACAACAATGTCAAAATTAAGCATGCTCGAACCCAACCATTTGACAAGCTCTAGTAGAAGTCTCACGACTCGAAGCACCGATTTTGGGCATAGAGTACAATGTTTAATAGATGCGAGCATTATAAAATTTCATCTGAATTCTAAATTTTAATACGAATACTCTGGCATCCCTTGTGATTGCATTTTTTCGCAGTGTTAGACATTTACGAGGCAACAAGAAAAAGAAAGTAAACGCATCCAAAGTTGAAGTGTAAATTGTAATTAATGCATGTTCTTCCTATATATGGAAAGAAATATTAATTTTAATAATGACCATTGGACTCTACACTAAATTTCACTTTGACCACAAAACTTCAAATTGTTTAATTTACAACACTCAACTTTAAGCCATTGTCTGAAATAAAATGACTGTTCTTCACACATTTTCAACTGCAGATTTTTAACTTGATCCGACACTCCGACGCAGTTGGTTTATTCTGAATATTAGGCACATGAAGAAGTGGGGAAACTAAAATGACTGTTGGACTATCATCTATTGGGCTTCGTGACCAACCCTATTGGGTCAAAACTTCATGGGCCCAAAAAATGGCCAATTTTATTATTTGGATGGGCCCTAAATATATATATAAAATCGTAGATTAAATTTTTTTATTCAAAAGTCAGACATTTCACTAAATAATTAATAAATTATAATATACACACACACACACACCAAACTTAAGTACCATGTTTTTTGAAAAGATAAAATAGATATATATCAAACAAGAGAGAGAATATCATATATATCCATAATTAACTCCTCAATACGTGGAAAACTAAAAAACCATCCCACGTTAAACCTCCCGTCAAGCCACAAATCCATGGCCTTATGTTCCATAAACTGAAGGATTGTGACATCGGTGCTACAGTGACACGATTTTCATTCGTGAAAGTCAAATCTTGAAGAGGGTTTTAATAAGGACAATGATCCCAAAAGTTGGGCGAATATTGTTGAGAGTTCTAGAAGGAAAGCATGGAAACGAAAAAGCACGAAAGGGATTAAAGTTTCAACGCCCAAAACTAGTTCCAAAACCTCGCCGCGCAATCCTGTTCGTCTAAAGGTAAATCGATTTCTTATATTGATTTAATTAGTGGAATATTCGTGTTTAACATTTGTTGGGTGGGTATGGTTTGGGTAGTCACACATATCTTGAAATTGTGACCTCAATATAATATAAAAAAAATAAATTCGAAAGTGTCTGTGCCCCATTTGATTGTGGCGACCCCATCTATTTAGGCATGAAAATCCGCCTTTTTTAGTGATTTTTGTGACCAAGTTTTTAGTGATTTTTGTGACCAAGTCATTATCGATGATTTGTGTTTTGACGGTGATACATCTCTCAGTTAGAAACACAAATTTTTTTAATTTTTTTGTTTTGACTAGCATATTCTTTTCGATTTATGTTTCGACCGTGACCAATTTCCTAATTAGATTCACATCTTTAATATTTATAATGTGACCCATATGTGTTTACGGCGGGTTTATATCTTGATGATGACTTTGATTATATATGTGGATAATATGCCTATCTTTCTACATAATTTGTGACCTTAGTTGTATGTGTCATGAGTAGAGTATGTGATGAATTATTTGAATGAGATTTGCTTACTATGTGATATGAATCGATGTTCAAGCATCAAATATTGAGGTCTGGTTTGTTACTCTTGGCATCTATTGTAGGAATGTGAGTATATTATACAGGAAGCTTTATGACTTCTCGGTAAAATTACCACAAATGCAACCAAAAATGTGATGTCGAATTTTACAGCAAAGTTTAACGATGGAGGGAAACAGATGCTGACTGATTCATGCTTCTCCTAGTATGCGAATTGTAAGGAAATAGTTGTTCAACCTCAACTAATACATTATTTTTCTACTCTGAGAGGTTAAGCAATTGAACAAGAAAGAGATGTGGTTTTTGGTAGCTAGCAGGTTTTTACGATTTTCATTTCCTGAGTTCTATCTAGTTACGGGACTTAGATACTGATGCTACCAAAAATCGTACCTGTAGATTTCCCGAGCTTGATGACTGATGAGGAACACGGACGTGATCTTCCGGTACCTGAAACAAAGGCAACGAGGTGTGTTCTCGTCGCCCCTCCAATGCTTAAGTCAGAAAGGAAATTTTATGCGTGAGGCTATGTGCTGGAGAACAATGAAAAACGTACC